GTTGATCACAAGTTGGTATAATCCATCCTTCCTCGCAGCCATGTTCACATTTTCCACTGATATGATTACAGGAAGAATCATCAAGACAATGGCCTGTGCACTTGGATTTACACTCCATACCATAATATCCAAACATGCAGGCTAATTGAAAATAAAATAAAATTATTTAAGTGATAATTTTTCCTCTGAAATTTTCAAACTAGAATGGATATTTTTTTTTTAAATGTAACAAGTCTAAGACTAAAGAAGCACTCATAAACTTTTTAGAAGACAGAATGAAAAAGGTGATCATGAAGATAACGAACAGTGATCGATCTCAAATAATTCATAAACAATTCAAATTTGTGAACAGGGCATAAAACACGGACCCCCCTACCATAAATTCCAGAACGGGATTAGATGCCTAGGAGTATAGTAAGCATCCCTTGTTGATCAGTCACGCCTGCCGTGAGCCCTACATATTGATCAAATAGCCGAAACATCAGTAATCAAATTAAGTATAAAACCAAAGGCCTAAGAATTGGTATGAAACACGTCAAACAAAATAAAACCAAAAACTTCAAAATAAGTTAATACGTAAGTGTTAAACACATAAAGATTGGAATGCTTTTTAAAATTACCCGGTAACCAACTTATATGTTAATAATTATTGAAATTTGTAGATTTAAGGTTACAATAAATAATAATTTTATAAATAACTGGAATTTTGACATGTCTTATTCTATTTCATGATCCTGGAGCAGGAGATTTAGAATCTTACTTTCGTTGCAGAACTTTCCGATCCAACCAGCTTTACAACCAAGACAGGTTCCTTTAAGTATATGACATCTTTTTTCCTGGCAATGAACAGGACAAGGAAGATCACAGTCTTGACCATAAAATCCATCTTTTTGACAGCCTTGTAATACAAAGCAAAAGGTATTATTACACATACATGCATAGAATTGTTTTGATAATTTACTAATAAGCAGATAATTATAGTAAAATTTTACCCATCACATTTACTTCACATAACTCTGTTATAATGGCAGTCTCGTAACCGTCAGGATATGACGTCTTGTTTCTTTCATTGTAAAATGTAACATAACGTCCATGAATGGTACAGATATTGATCAAATCTAACGAAGGTAATTCTGGTCCATCTTTGTCACATAGATAACTGTTCTGTATATCTGTCGTATTCGAAACATAAAGAGTAAACCCCGCCAGTCTTCCTCTTTGACGATTATCTAAATAATTAGTTAGAAATGATCGTAAGTGTTTTACATAATTTTATGCATGTATAACTGAAATATTCCCTAATGAATCATACAGGTCATTATTCAGGTGCTCAAAATGCTTTGTATTTCATTTAACATAGCTTAATCTTTAAACCAAAGTACATGTAACTGAAAAAGAATTTTTTCGATAATAAGTCAACTTTTAATATGAATTAATTTTTTTTTTTTTTTTTGCTGAATGATTTTCAGAAATCTAAGAACAGATTGATTTGAGGAAATCCAAATTCCTGTTAGCCCTTTCACGATAACCGTGGTACTGCTGTGTTGCAACACTAATAAATAACATAATTTTTGATGACTGTCAATTGAAAGACTTTAACTGTAAAATAATTTATATTCGAGGTGTCAAATTTTAGTGGTTTGAGGAAAAGCCACTGCTTCGAGGGGATTTGATTTCGTAGTAAAATGAAATACATTATACTGCAGTGTGCAGTTTCACATTTCATGGGAGATTTGAATTCGTGGGGCTCTTTATACCTCGAAAAGAAATTAACCCCCCCCCCCCCCGAAAATTAGTGATTTCACAGTATTAAACAATGCTGTTACTTCATATTTCACCAAACAACATCAATTTGCCCTGCAAAAGAGCAGTACCACAGTTGAAACAGTCTATTCTCCCTAGAAAAAGAAATCAATTTCGACTTTTCTGTTGTTTGAAATTGATGATGTCAAATCTATTTCTGATTTAAAATTTTAATAGATAGAGTTTGAACACGATGACAAAAAAATATAAATACTTGAAACAAAAAATAACATAAATATGTCTTTCTGAATAAAAATATTTGATTTCATAATTTTCAACAGATGAAATACTAAACTAGGCACAATGGAACAGCAGAAAAATTATTGTTTTCATTTAAAGCGAAAAGAAAAATTCCGCACACGTTTATTGCAAATGCAAAAGATTCATAAGCATCAGTGATAAGTTCGACTTCTCTTGAATCTACAAATGAATATTACAAATGTTAATAAGAACCCAAATTTTATTGGTAATTTTATTGTCGATCTGAACTGCCAACGTTCAGATTGGTAAGAATTTATGAGTTATAAAGAGACCAGACACGACATCTGCATTTTTTCAAAGACGATATTTGATTTGACATAAAACAATAATCAGCGTCGGGGAATGAGTTCTTTAGACGCTATCAATATTAGAGCTAATGCTGTATAAGTTGTGTTTGTTTATTATGTAGCGTACGAAACAATCTCCCATGCAATTTAATGAGATGAAGTTAAACATGGACAAGTACTATTAATTATAAGGTTTTGTAGTGAGTGGGTACAGAATAATACCTGGTTAGTAAATTTTGTACCTGTCATGAAATTTATCTTCCTTAGAAATTTCAAAATAACAATGATAAAGATTGTTGAAAGCATTGTAGCATCAACTTAATTGTTAGTAGCATGTCTCTGTGTAAAGACTGATCGCTATTAAAACATGCTCTTGCATACCAAATCAGTTTGTAAAAATAAAAGCCATTTGCAAATAATAATTGTTTATTGCTACAAAAATAGGGGAAGTTATATAGATATTTGGTCATGAATGCCCACAGTCAGTAAAACATATAAATCAAAGTACTGATGGGAGTTGATTTTACAAACGGTTTCAATAAAATTCAAATTATGAACCTTGTTCACAGCTTTTCGAATTATGTACAACATTAATGCTTTATAAGTTGGTATTTGAGAAGCAAATGACTAAGAGGATTGTACAGAGTTAAAGAGGTAAGGTTTGTTCTAATTTGAAAAGATATGCGAAAACGTGTCAGATTTCTCCGCTACTGCAATTTTTTAGTACTTTTCAGGTATTTTTCCCGACCAAAAGTTCGTTTAAAAGTGCTGTTGCAACTTAGCATTTCTTCAGAATCTGATACAAGTTGTGAATTTCATTTCATGATTATACAATATTTAACTAAACAATTTTTAAGTGTACGTTTGAATTTACATATAGAAAATAGTGTACGTTTTGCTAATTTATAATTTGCATAGAGGCCATATTATTTTCAATATGGGAGTTTTATGTTCAATGCATTATATATAAATATAAAAAAAGATTAAAATATAAAAACTTTGGAATAAATTCTTTCTCAATTGGTTCTATATTTAAATGTGTCCTGGATTGGAATGCACTTTTTTTTTTTACAAAATGACGGAAAGTTGATGGTTCCTTCAGAGTTTGAAAATCTGAAGCAAAGCTTCATTACAATGTTACATAAAAACGTGGTAAAAGAGCTTGGAAGGTCTTTATCATGTAAATTTAGAGAGACCATTTACCATTTTCTGACAGATTTCTTCCTTGTCTTAGGTGAAGGTATGGAACTTGTACTTTCAGTTTATTAAATAATGATTTTCTTTTTGAAATTGAAAATCACATTGGAGGTAGAATTTAGAAAAGTTAAACGACACTATGGGAAAAATACTATTGTTTTTGCCTGGGGAAATACTAGTATAAAACTTCATTATTGACATAACATGTTGAGATATCATGAATAAAGTGGACAGCATTTCTCCATATGATGTAATGATTAAAGTTAAATCACGAATACTATCTAGATTGGTGACGAGAAAATAAATGGAGCTATGCCAGGAAAGAAGATTTTCTCATATAGTGACTTGGATTCATAACATGCATCTTGTAAATGTGGAAAAGACTGTCCTAAATTCTTCAGCCTATATCAATAATCTATCATTGATAGTATAACGTCAAAGGGTAGGGGAAATCTACCCAGTTCACATAGTACAGCAAAATAAGTTGCAGATTTATGCACACAAAGTATTGATTTTCAACATTTCAGATGAAGTGTGTCACAGATTAAGTTGGAGTATATGCTGTCAATAGTTCAACTAGGAATGCTATTTATTTCGTGATTGGGTTAAAATCCAAAAATTTAAAATTCAACATTTAAGATGCATACAATAAAATGGGTTTTAATAGTGTTATGAAAAATGTGAATAATGTTATTTTTAATGTCTGGATTCCGTGAAGTTTTTGTTTTCCTTGTTTTTTTTAAACAAATTATTTTAATGCTTTAATGCTGAGCAAAGGAGAATATTAAGAGCCTGAGGAATAAATGTTACATCTAGGTATTTACATGTACTCAGAAACACTATATGATGTATTTAACAGTGTACTTAAGAATAGACTTCGTTTTTTTTTTTATGAACTAGGGTGTCGCGTGTGTCGCCTGCTTTGTAGTTTCATTAAAGAAAGTAAATAAATCTAAGTGTTGTTAGCTATTTATTTACTACTAGCATGATAGTTCATGCAGAAAAAAAAGCATCCACGCATAGTATAAAACTGTGATAGAATCTGACAATCAAAGAAAACATGATTCTCAACCCAAACATGAATAATTGAGTTGAATTTATTATAAATAATTATTTATAATTTTACATGTATTTATGCGTGTTTCAAAGTCTTTTTTACTCCAATTGTCAGTCTACACAATCTATTATGGTATACCGATTGCGATGTATTTTCATAGTATTTAAATATCAGTTTGTGTGGTAACTGAATATCATACAGTTTCAAAGTACAGTATCATGAGCTCAAAAACATGTATCAATGCTAATTATCAACACCCCGCCTCTCAAAATTGAAAAGTTTTAAGTTAAATTAAATTGTCTGTGGTATTTTTTGCAAAGTAGATCAAAGGTGAAGGTCAAGTGAATTGAAAAGCTGGTATCTTTCATAGTGTTTTCGGACAATCGGTGCACATGCTAAATAGCATAGACTTAAATGTCAAAAATATGCTGTATATTGACACTATTCACTTTTTTGTAAAGTAGGTCAAAGGTCAAAGTCAAGGGTCGCGAGGTCAGTAACCATGGCAATTCACAAAAGCCATAGTGCCAAGCAATATATGTCCAAAACATCAAGTCCATATCTCTTACAGTTCTTGAGATACAAGGTGTGACAGACGGACAGACAGACGGACGTTTTGTGTTCTCGCATTCAGTGTTTTAATAAACAACACTATATAGCTGTATAAACAATCCAGTGAACTGTTTATATTTACTATGTGTTCGGACATCAGCATCCAGTCCCAGGAATATCATATTGCATTGCCAGACTTAATACTCTGTACATGTGTTTGTATGCTTTAGTCTAGAATAAAATGCTAATCCGTAAAGATGCCATCTAGTACTTATTTCTTGTGTTAAATAAGATTATAAGAACAACACAAAATTGGCGACGAGGATTTAAAACAATAGCTGGATATGGGCTGCAAACGTGTCCCTGCGCTCCTAAGTTTGATTAGGGGAAAGACTTACGCTTTACTAATGAATCTTACAACACCAGATAAACCAAAGGACAAAAGTTTTAATGAAACTGTCCATTTTCTTAAAGATCATCTATCGCCAAAACCCTTAGTAATTGCGGAAAGACTTCGATTCCATAAAAGAGAGCAAAAAGAGGGCGAAAGCGTCAATGAATATGTCGCACAGATCAGGAAACTTTCTGAATATTGTGACTTTCGGGATCTAAATGACACTCTAAGAGACCGATTTGTTTGCGGACTCCGAGATGAACAAACTCAGAAGAAGTTACTATCCGTTCAGGGGCTCATCTTGGATAAAGCAAATCAAATAGCTGTCGCTATGGAAATCGCATCAAAAGACGCCTTAAAACTACAAGGGAAAAGCCGCGAGTCTGGAGTCAACAAATTAAATTTCCAGAAATTGAAAGCAAAGTTGGAAAAACCGAAACCTGTGAATTGTTACCGATGTAATAAAAGTGACCACAGAGCAGAAGAATGCAGATTCAAAGATGCAATATGTCACAGATGTAAAAAGAAAGGACATATTAAAGCGGCATGTCGTGCGAAGGACCAATCATTCAAATTTCCGAAGAAAGTGCACGCAGTCGACGAAGACAGTGATTTAGGAATGTACATACACTGTACATTCCGGTAAGCGAAATGAGATAATGTTGGATGTGTCTATTG